GTGAGTTGAGCCAAGTTGAAGGACTTAGATACTCTATGTCTATTGTTGGGAGGAACAATCGAATCAAGACATCAAAGGAGTCTGTTCAGCTTGCGCCACAGGCCTTGTCCGCCTCTGGAGTGCTGACGCCTGCCGTGGCTTTCCATGGTACCAGCTTCTTGGACCGTCTGCAGGCGCTCTCCGCAGGAATGTGTGTGACAAGGTTTGTTTGGAACAACACGTTAAGCATGTTCTCAAGAAAAGATTCTTTGATTGACTTCCCACTTGAGGCTGGGCTTAGTGCCTGCTGTGAGCTTCTTTGTTCGGACCGGATGCTCTATGACTTGAGAACAAACCCCCCCTTCTCCGTTGTTACTACTAGTAAGGCACTTGTTAGCACTTGTTACTACTAGCTTCTGCCTCCTGCAGTCAACTTTAGCCTTGGGGCCTTTGATGGTGTTTGTGATGTCCCGCCAGCAGGGTCCTTTGAATCGTGACTTCGATCAATCAGGCCGATAGCTTCGCTGGAGGACCAAAGCTACACTTCGAGGTGCACTGCTCAACTGTGTTTCCCGGCTTTCCAACCACACTCCTGAGAGATGCCACACCAGGTGTGTGATGGGAAGCCCAGCGAAGATGAGGTCAGGAGCTTTGGTGTACACCTTGTATGTCTTTGTAAACACCACCGCATAACTGTTGCACGATCGTGTGTTAGACGATTCATTTCATTTCACACTTTAGTTGAAAAGCATCCTCGAAAGCCACTGAACACGTCGAAGGTCATTGCAGCCCTGACAGCTGCTGCGAAGAAGAGGCAAAAGGCCAATGAGCAGCTGGAATCTGGTCTGAAGGCCATGTCTCTTTATCCAATGATTTTCCTGAGGTAGCTGAGTACTTGTGAGGATGGATGCATAGAAGAACCATCAAAAGCTGAGAACCTGTGAACAAGATCGTTCCCATTGAAGCACATGAAGAGAGCGTGCCTTCACGTTTCAAGTCATTGGCGTTTCAAGTCATTAATTGGCATCTCCGTTTTCAGTTTTCTCCGAAATACGCAGGCGGTATTTTTCTGTGGACAATATGAGGATGCTGTCGGTGAAGACGATGTTAGTCGAAAGATGCCTGCGAGGCCTGGGACCTCCCTGCGCTTCTAAAATGAGATCATAACGAGTGCAGAAAAAGATGCGACCTTCACATGCTGGTTTCACATGGCTCGACAGATAGTTTTCTTTTTTTCCCCGGAATCTCGTGAGCAAAGTCCTGTTGGTATGTCAGCACTGGCACTGGACAATATTGATGAGAATTTCCGAAGGCTAACTTACTTGGGCTTTCAACGTGACCTTCGCAGCAGTGAAATCACACGGTAAGTGGGATGATGAAGCTCTAAGCAGCTATTGTAGCTGCTTGGTCACATTCCTGAAACACAGTTTTGAACTTGGTTCCTTCCTGGGTGAAAGTCTTGGATCCTGCAGCTATGCATTAGATTGCAACACTTGACCCTGGACGACTTCCCGAATCCCACGCATGAATTGAGTAAAGTCAGCTCTTTCGCCATGCGGCTTTCGGTGCGGCGTGGGCAGGCGGATTGAAGTGTGATCAATCACGATTTAACAAGAATCAGCTGAACACCGAAGCCTCAGGATCCTAGTTTGCTTGCAACAGCAGCTGTAACTTTCCATAGACGATGGCAAGATGTCAGGTCATACCGGTTGTAAGGCATCCGCATCGGTCGCAGCATAGGCGAGATCGGTCGCAGCATCGGTCGCTGACTCACCAATCTTGCGAGGCACCGATCTTGCGGCCCTTGATTTGCGCTGTGCACTCAGTGCTACCTGTGGGTCCTACTAGGAGCGATCGGACGCGACTAGGGGCTCCTGGCCGTACTACTAGGAGCGATCGGACGCTTCACTGTGATGGAAGCATGAGCAAGATGGTTCCACTCAGACACTGGTACTCTCCAATTGTGCTTCCCATGCTCTAGGAATGTGATGAGACACCTGGAAGTAAACTGCAGCAGAACTTGAAGTTGCATGTACAATGCTACTTTCTGCCATGGAATGAGTGAAGCTTCAAACGTGGAAGTGTCCTCCGGACGTTAGAGCACTAGTGACTTTGCTTCGATGGACATACGACGATACCATTGAAGAGGATGGGAGATCACAGCCAGTTTTGTGGAACTCTGATCTACAGTGATCTTTGCAACCTAAAGTCCTGGTCCTATACACACCAGATCTCAGCAGTTTTCCGCGCATTGGGTGCAACAGTATATCAACTTGAGGCATTCCTAGCCAGCTGGGTGAGCTTTGCATTCTCAGGCCGGGCACCTGTATGGCTGAGTATCAGATAGGGCACCAATGTACTTTGCTGGACTGGGCAGATTGCAGCAACCACGCAACCACTAGCATGCGAGGATGCAACCCCGCACTGTTTCAAGTTTCAAATGCTCTCAGTCTTGTCCCCATGGACGGCACGCTGTGCCATGAAGGTGTCCAACGTGACGTGCGCCGGAAAGCAGGTGGCGGAGAGCAGGTTGGGCCCAAACGGACATTTTGCCAAACAGATGTGAAGCAAAAGGTGACAACTGATGTCAAAGGTGACAACTTTGCTTCTGTTTGCCATCTACCTAAGACCACATCATTGTTCCTTGCATGTGAGCAGTCTTGCAACGATTCAACGCAAGTTCTCAAAACCGGTTCAGCAACGAAGCGACATAAGCCTCCTAAGAGCAGTTACAGCACTACCCTGCTGCCATAAGCCAGCAAACACAGCTGGAACACCAGCGAGAGAGTTGGCCCAACAATTTGTCTAGATCTTCAGGCAGAAAAGCTTTGGACCCTCGAAGTTGGTTGCACAGAGTCTCGGCAAGCATCTCGTGATGCGAACATGTTGAGATGCATATGGATGCATCATACATCCATTGAACTGCATAGATGCCACGTCACACACTGCCGCACCTATCCCTGTTATGCAGAGAGAAAGCGATGAGCGATGAGTGAAGTCAGTACCCTCACATGAATGAGGGACATGACTTCCGTGTGACGCTCCGAGGATCACTATGTTTGGAAGGACAAGGACAGAGATTTTGCCTTGAGAAGAATTCGATCGTGCAAGCTTCGGCTTTGCAGTGTGAGAGATTTTGCCAGGATGTCTTCGTTGGCATTGTTGCTGATGCTGGCGAATGGACAGTAGATCTAGGCCACCATTTCTGACTTCCAGTCACGTCGAACAAGGGAACACAGGGCAGTGGGCAGCAGGAATTCTGGACATTTCAGTCTTTGTGTGGCTTTTTCTTTGCGTGGAACATGTCTGCCGCGCTGCAGATGCCGTGCGCATCGGCTTTGACGAGGCCAGTCGCTCGATGAGTGGGGAACGTGGATGTGGAGAGGTCCCCTTGTTTGGTCCCCTCCTTGGAGGCTCCTCGGCTCACCGGCGTACAATTCAAAGTATACACTCCCTGAAAGAATGATGGAACATGGCCAGAGGATGACCATATTCCGAATACCAACAGGTTGTCCAAACATTCATGATTCTTTCAGGGGATCGAATTGGCGGTTGGCGGGCTTAGTAATCTTAGTACACTCCATAGCTGCAAGGGCCACCTTGAGTCCGTTGTGAGACTTGAGCCTTTGCGTCAGATGTATTGATGGTGTGTTCGGTGTGTCCATACTTTGTTTCCGCAGAGGCTTGTGAGAAGGGCACAGCTGAGATTTTCTCAGCTCCCTTGTACGTGGTCAAGGCAGGCAAGACTGTTAATCTGAACATGAACGTGTGACCTCATCTCAAAAAACCGAACGTGTCACCGATGTCAATTTTGTGATCAGGCAGATGCCTACATTCTCATACATGTCTCAACTTTTCTCTATTCACATGGCGCTGCTTACTGCGAGGCTTACGTGAAAGAGCTCACCTCCTACGGCCTTGCTGCGAGGGTCAGCTGGTGAGAGTGATTCGTGGATCAGCAATATTCCAAGCCAGCCAAACAAAAGGGCCAGGGTGACAACATCCGTGTATTGAAATTATCTACGTGACCCATGTGACCTTTTGGAAGCAGTCATGAAACATCTTGTGTCATAGACTCATAGAGTTACGAGAAGATTGCTTTTGGTGCAGGATTAGCAAACTATCTAATTATATAAGGAGCCTGAAAACTGACTTTTGATAGAAGGGTTGGCCATGGTCCGGTTGGTCGCTTCAAGCAACACAACATGTTGTGCTAGGCAAAGGAGGCTACAAAGGTGGTGGAGGGCGTTGGCTACGCACGCCGTGATTTCAAGGAAGTAGGGCTGACACTGCCGAGAACCACTGAAACAAAGCGTGGATTTAGGATCTGAAACGAATTTCGATTGGTTTCGACACACTCACCATAGATTCGATGCTTCCTTTCAAGAGCTGCCAGGACACACCTTTTGACTTTGACCTTGCCCAATTCCTTCCAAAGCAGGTGTGTACTCAATAGTCCTCCAAATGAGGAGTTTGTAACTAGCTCTTCCTTCATTGGAACTTCCAATGTCAAAACGTGTATGGCCAGGGTGTCTTTCTCCAAGGACCTGTTTTTTCGCCGACGGAACCGCGTCCCAGGAGCTCTCCCCTGAACTGAAAGAATCCGCTCGTGAGGATGGCGCCCTGGAGGCCGAATCATCGTCCAATCGCTTTTGTTGTTTGGCCAGCGGGGCATCGCTACTAGTAACCAGGGCATGGCTACTACTAGTATTCCTTGCTACTAGTAGCGATGCCCTTGTTATTCCTTGTTACTAGTATTCCCCCAAAAGGGGGGATGACCATTTGTGGTGTCTTACACCAGTGTAGTAGTCACAGTCCATCTAAAGTTTAAACAGAATCATCCGGTTTTTGTTGTATGAACAGAGTCATATGGGCCGCTAGTTCGCCTTGACGAACTCGAGTGAGTTGGGCAGAGCCCAGGTCATTCTGCAGCGGATTTTCCATGCAGAAAACAGGGAAACCTCAAGAGATTGGGAACCATGTCCTCGTCGTCTTCTCAGGCAGAAGCTTCGGGCAAGCCCATGCAGATTGTTTTGGAGAAGAGTGTTCCGACCTTGGATCCATACTAGCGATGGCCTCCAACCTACTAGCGATGGTCTCCAAGCCAATAGCAACCATACCCAAAGCAAATAAAATCATACTAAAATTTACTAAAACAACGTTCTTGTATTGAATGTCCGAATAGATTATTATATATCGATCAATTTTGGAAGATTACTTTTCCTTGATGAGCATGGATTGGGTGATGATCACGATTGGGGTTGTTTGCTGGGTTAATTGGCTTTACTGACCACCTACAGCTTTCACTTTTTGGAAGCTTTTTCTCAGTGGCATCAAGGATCATCCTACTTTGACGGGTGACAAGAAAGCAATGCAAAAGCAGCTGCCCCAGCACTCACCAGAGGCGGACAAGAGTGTTGCCCCGCTCCGAGTGCTGATCCCCTTGGGGCCAGTCGCTGCTGTTCGGTGCTCGCCTCCCATGTTTGGCTCTGCGAGGTTTAAGGCTTACATCGAACTCGCCACGGATGCAGCACAGCGATGGCTCCCGCCAGAGGGGGAGCTGAACCAGTGCCGCCATCCCGAGCTGCGTCAAGTATGGCCTCCATGAGTGGATTGGAGATACAGTATATATGGGGTGTGTATTTTGATAGGGAGTGCTTTTATGCTAATATACTTGAAGATTGAAACGATCGTGGGATAGATTTTTAGATGTGACCTTTGTGTTGGGACCTTGGAACATATCTCAAGCAGTCGAGCACTTGTAACACATACTTAAAGAATTAGGTTGGTTTATTTCATAGGACAGATTTCCAAGCACCTTTTACTTCAGGTTCAAGCAACAATCTAAACAGCAAGATGCAAAGAACTCGCTTTGAAACTAATACAAACACTTCACTTGAAGTCAACTGGGACTCTATCATGTGTCCAAAGACCTGTCATTTGCTACTTGAGCAGAGCAACTCAGCTGTCAACCTATCTATATCAACCTGGCAGAGCTACTCCATGCTGCATGGCGCAAAAAGCAGCCTCCCCAGCTGCTCGCTGTTTCGGGTCAGTTTAATCGCTTCACTGAACAGCTCTTTTGACAGCAAGGGATGACCAAGTAATCTATTCCAAGCAAATCACTGAAGCACGGATGACCAGGACGGCCGTTTAACGTATATAGCTATTATATAACCATATTTCCTCAGCCCCGGCGATTGCTGGACACCAGGATCCACCCTGATCTTTGAGAAAGTACTGGTAGCTGTATGAAGCTATGAAAAATTAGCATCTACATACATCTACTGATATCAGAGTACTTCAGGATATTATTCAAAGCTTGGATAGTTGGTTGTGGCCTCTTTGGAGCTGCAACTTAGCTCCAAGAAAAGACTCTGATGACTCTACTGAACATATTGTTTTCTCCCCGCTTAAGTCAAGTTTCCCAAAAAATCTAGGACCAAATCATTAGTGCGGGTGCTTCTTCAAGGAAGCTCTGCGCCCTCAGCCGGGGGGAGCTTCCTTGAAGAAGCGTGAGCTATCCTGCGTCCTAGCCAGGAGCTTCCTATTGCTCCCTTACTTAATTAAGCAAGCGCCTACTTAATTAAGTAAGGAGGCAGGGCCACGGGCTGAATTAAAGAGAAGAACGGGCTGTATTCTTGGTCTCAGAGTTGTGACTACTCATTTGTCTCTCAAACACGACACCGTGTGCATTCAATGCTTTGAAGCGTCGCAGTGTCGCGCTCGCACAGAGCGCTTGCACCTTGCCTCACTGTTGTCACCTACAGCGACTGAGACGAACTGTCCGGTAGTTAGTTGGCACAAGTGAATCTAGTGAAGTGAATTTAGCCCCACAGCATGACCAGTTCAGAGATTTCTGACACCAATCTTTACACGATAACCATCGCATCATGTCGAAAAAAAATACCAACAACATATGAGTAACAAGAAGCTACTAGGAACAAAGGGCATTTCTACTAGGAGCAAGGACGCTACTAGTAGCTCCTGGCCTTACTAAGAGTAACAAGAAGCTACTAGGACATTTCTGTGCTTGAGGTCTCAGCCGTGCTCCCCAGCGGCTCCGCTCCGGATTTGCGGCGCAGTCGCTTGGAGAAGCTCCTGTCGCAGGCGCCATGGAGTCGCCGCGTTCTGCGGCGACCATCAACCGTCCCGAAGAACATCTATGATGGAGGGATCCACATTTTTTCACATCTTTTGCACGATCCAGTGATCCAGTATGCTTGACTTGACCCATGCGTCAGGTTTGCTCTCGAAAAATCCCAATTTGCTGAGTTCACTTGGGAAATGTGGTGTGTGTGTGTGTGTCCCACCCTGGACAAAGGGTTTTCCACCGCCACTCTTTTCACCATTTTTCCACCACTTTCCACACGCAGGGGGCAGAGGGATCTCCAGTCGTGGCCTCTGCCAACGAAGCTCCACACTGGACGATCAGGAAAACGTACCTGCGCCGTGATACCACTCCACTCTTCCTTGCTGTGTTTTGATGCCATGGTCGTTCATGTTCCTCCCCCTAAACCATTTCCTCCCCAGCAGCGCTGCAGTTGAGCCGATATGCAGCCGAGTCAAGCGAAACAATCGATGTTAAAACACTTCCAAGTTGTCGGACTTTTCGCCTTGCTGTTCCATCACCTTCCTTCTCACCGAGACAACTGCGTTAACTGAAAACCCAAGTTCGAAGTGTGTCCTGCTCAGCCGTCCCACTCGGGTGCTGAGTGTGATCCCCGTCACAGGGGCGCCGACCTTGCACGGGAAAGCAACCACCCCAACGCACCACCGCTCACTGGAATCTCACAGGAAGGCACCGACACCCTCACAGAATCAACCGCCACACCGGCCGCCGGGCCAAAAAACGGTTCTTGAAGATTTCAAAATTCAGATCTCAGATTTCAGCATTCAGTTTTCTTTTCATGTCCTCCAATCATGTGCGTGTTTCTATGTTCGCTATGTTGCTGCCGCGATTCTTTCATCGACAGAACTCAAGGATGGGCATTACAGCTCTTCAGCTTAATTCGAGATGCATGAACACACACCTACCAACAAGCTCACATTTAGCACCACCTTACAACATACTCACCACTGACACCAGAGATGACACCTTCAGCAACAACAAGACAATACAACTCGGCACTTCTCCGCTGCTTTTTGCTGCCGCGCCGCGCCGCGCCATAGCTACGACCACGACATGCATTTTCCGTGGCCCTACGCTCACACCACGCCACCACCATTACCTACCACACAACCTCAACCCACATGGCCGATCCCACAACCATCAACTGCACCCACCTTTCCCTCGACGCAACCATCGGCATACCCTCACCCACAACCACAACCATTTCAACCACCACCGTTCTTGTCCAACCCTACTGACCTACGGCACACCATCCACTTGGACTTTTGTCCAGCCATGTCACGTGCCACCGCAACCCACACATCCAACTCCAGTGTTTCCGACAGCAGCACCTCCCCCGTCCTACTTGTTGCCACCACATCATCCCACACCACCGGCGGAACTTCCCCCCCCCACTACATTGACACATCCCCCTCCAACACAGCAACAGCCTGCCATAGCCAATTATCCATCCACGGACCCCCAATGCGCCATCCCCCAGGGCGTTTGGCAACCCTATTCAGCCTTTCCCCCCGTCACACAGCCTCCACTCCAACCGTTGCCCCCGCCACCGCCTCCACAAACCATCAACGCCTCAACACCAACCCAACCTCCACCCCAACAGCAGCCACCATCGGATCCAACACCACCGATCCAACCCATCCCCACGACTGCCCAGGACAATCCATTACCAGTCCAAAACACGCCTCCACCAGCTACCTTATCCCAACATTCAGCATCCCCATCGCTGGTATCTGCCACACCAGTGCCTGGACCTTCACTACCAGCACCAGACCAACTTGACACCACTGCCTCACCAGCACCGCAACCACCTTCCCCGCCACCACCACACAGCAGTCGCCGTCACCGCCACAAGAGCCGACGCAAGTCCGACCATCACCACAGAGGACGCCACCGCCACCGCCGCCGACATCGCCATCACCGCCACTCCAAACATCACAGCACAACCCGGCGACGGCGGTCGCCCTCAACATCCACCTACACATCCAGCCTTACGCCATCCCGCAGTCGTTCGCCACCACAACCCATTGATCTACGCCCCAACACCGAACACACCAACCCGGACCCCTCTCAATATCCCACCACAGCCGTCCTCCGTCGCCCAATCAACCGTTGGCGACCTCCACCCAACTTTCACACCTTTACACCTGCAGACCAAATCCTGGAATGGCTCGAATTCCACGCCACCCAACTCGACAATCCCAACCGACCACAACACCAGTACATTGCCAATATCCTCACAGACTGCAACATCACCTACAAGGAGATCACCGATTTCCGACAATATACCCACGCTAAGTGGAATGACACAACTCACCAATACGACCAATTCCAGTACTACGCCATTTCACTTCCCTTCCTCAACACCAAAGCCACTACACCAGAGCCACCTGCGGTTTCCCGCGCCACATCAACCCACCGGGAGGTCGCCCACATCAACGCAGGCCACACAGGCCCCGTCGGCAACATTTCCAACATTCTACGCCAAGGCCGTTTTTTACCCAGCACACTCCACTTTGCCAACTACCCTGGATTTTTTGCCCAGGGCGTTCGCATCACCCACAACCAACCTCATGACCACAACGAACTCGCCCGCATCATCCACAACACCTGGCAACTCCACAAGAATTCCCATTCCCTTATCATCACACTCCTTGCTTGGGGTGCTGCCACAAAATATACCTCTGGAGGTGAGGAACACGCCATGAACCTCCTTAACGACCACCATGGTGCAGTCTTTCATCAGAAGGGCCGCTGCTGGGTGATCCACCCGGACCACGCCATTGTCAAAGGACTGGCCTGGTCCACCAACTCCACTCCACCGGACCCATAACACCACTACCACACATCTACACACCACTACCACCTCCACATCCACTTTTGGTCTCACACCACCACCCAACCTTTGCTGTAGCAGCAAAAAAGAGCCTCCTGCAGCGGCCACGCGAATTTTGAACCCTCAATTTTTCTAGCTCTGCACTGTTTACTGAGAACACCTTTTTCGAATTGTACCGGCTGTTTTGCTGGAGTCTTTCACATGTCAGTTTCTGCATCGTGGAGAGTGATTCATTAAGTCATGTACTTAATTGTCCAACCGGCATTGCATATTCGCACTTTTGCCTGGGGGAATTTGATGCTCGCTTAATTCATATGCACGGCCTCGGGATGACGCGCTCCCTCAGACTCGCCGCTGTCCGGCTGCTTTGGCGCGCTGCCGCAGCAACCTGTGACGATTCTTGACCACTGCACACCCCTACATCTCAGACTCATGAGCAGCGCACCGACACCTCTACAAAACGACACCTCAACTCTCATACACAAAACCGCAGTGGCACTTTCGCAAGTGCACAACCTGCTTCGACAAGCAACAGATATTGTAGCACACCTCCACACGGTTTTCCTCCACCACAGCCACCAAGCGGACCCACTTTCCGCCAACACTTTCAGCCGCTTCCAACTCCGCCCAACCACCCTAT